AAGCCAGCCTAGGCAAACAGTTCGTGAGACCCTATCTCAAAAATACCTAATACAAAAAGGGTTGGTGGAGTGGTTAAAGGTGTATGTCCTGAGTTCAAACCCCAGTACAGCAAAAAATAAATAAATAAATAAAGATTAAGAAATTGCCTCAAACCAGAGACACAGGACACAGGCAACTAAAATAAAATGTGTGACCCTGAATAGGATGCTGAATTGGACCCTGAGAAAGGAAAACAGGCAGTAGTGGAATATTTAACAAAATGTGAATAATGTCTAAAGAAGTCTAAACACAATTGTAGCAATGTTAATTTCCTGCTTTTCATTTTTGTACTCTGGCTTATATGGGACCATTTGGGGAAACTAGATGACAGGCATACAGAAAGTCTGTGTTGTTTTTTGCAACCTTTTTGGGAGGGCTACAATTATTTTAAAATTTTTAGTTAAAAATATAAATTTAAAAAAGAAAATTATCCCATCAAATAGGAAATTTGCCTCTGTTTACCCTCTATAATCCCCCAAAATGAGACAAATATGTAGACTATGTGGGGAAAAAAATACATATATCAGTTTCAAGAAGTCCAAAATATAGCATAAGATCATCTGCTTAAAAAAATGTCTCAGCAGAGAAAATCCTTGTCTATTAAAGGGCTATTAACTATGCAATATGTCACTGTAATTTAACTGAGGTCCTTCTAGGTCTACAAGACAAATCCAATCCAATGATTCTACTAGTTTTGAGCTAAATGAAAAATATCTTAGCATTCATCTATATGATAAACATGTTACCATGAATGTATCTTGAAAGAAAATAAATCTACTGTTAGCCTCTGTCGACTATTTCCAACTCAAAAAGTCCCACAAACTTAGAGGAAATTTGAACCACAATCTTGCAAAAACACAGAACATGAAGCAAAGCAAGCATGAAGGGGGACGTGGAGGGCACAGGGGTTGGGGAGGGGGCGTTCAAAGAACACATGGAATGTCCAGCGTCTGGAAGTTCCTAAGTATTTCAGTCTCTGGCAATGACATTTCTAAATAGTGAAAAGTAATGACACTCCTCACACTGTGACTCATAAAGGAAACACTCTGTAATCAGTAATTTATTATTCTGTTCCCCGACTCTTGTGGACTAAAGGCAGAATTCCTAACCTAGCACAACTGGACTTGGCTTTTATCATTTTGTTTTTTGGACTTTTTCTTTTAACCATGCAACGTGTCACTGTAACTTGACTGAGGTCCATTCTAGGTCTACTGAACAAATCCAATAACCCCACAATTCTACAGAGCTATTTTGTCCCACAGGGCAGGCACAGCAACGGGGCAGCAAGTGCTTGACAGTGGAGTATCGTGGCAATCGCACAGCAAGGCTTTTTTTGTGATGTTTCCCCTATAACATGTGAATTCCCAATATATCTTCTCTATAATGAGCTTAAAATAAAAATAAAGGAACCCACCAGCCAACAAGAAGCTGCCAGCAAGGGCTCAGCCCACTAGAACAGCTATGGAGATGCCAGCAGCCTGACGCAGGCCTCTCCAGAGATGTTCTTAAGCCTTCTGGACCCAATTCAAGTCTCCCTGTCTCCAGGCAGACTTCCTGTAGGCTCCTAGTCTCAGTCTGCTCCCACAGAGCCCTGAGGTTCCACATTTTCTGGCACTGGCTAGAATGAAGTGAAATTGGCCATTTCCTTCCCTCTTCTGGCTGGAGATATGAGTTGTCTGAAGGGCAGGGTCCCTATGGGCCGCCTGGCCCATGCAGGCTTTCCCCACTTGCAAGAGGGCAGGTGGAGGCTGTGAGAAGTACACATCAACATCTGCACAGTCCAGTTTCAGAACACGAACCAGTGCATCTTGCCTGGGTTACTTTCCTCCCACAGACCAGGCAGTACTGTAGCAGCCCAGAAAGTTGCAAGGAGAGGAGCAGACATCTTCCTGGGATTCACAGTCTAAGGAAGAGACTGACTTTAGGTACATAACCGCAGTGATGATTATGGGATGACACTTGGGAAGAATATTATTAAAAAAGAAAAGTGAAAAAAGTGTATATGTAGCAGACTCTACTGGGTGACCTGCCAATTTTTAAAAGCTTACCTAAGGCAATAGCAGGGGTGGACGTTGGGGGTGGAGATAATCTCAGCAGATAGTCAATTTACAATCCAGGAGGAAAAAATGGACATGAGCCAAGTGCCTAGCTTCAGAGGAAAGGCTACCCACACACCCTATCCAGGCAACCTACAGGGACGAAGCTACTGAGCCATTTAAAAATGACAAGTATGTGAGCTATGCTGACCACTGGGAAGATACTGACCAAGTTTATGTACGGGGGGTCAATTCACTAAAAAAAATTTCAAAACTCAGCCTCAGCCTCTCCTGCTTCAAGATAATCTTCAGAATCCTGGAGACAGCAGCACCGATGGCCTCACAGTCCTGGTGGTCAGAGGTAGTGGCAGAATGTGACCTCTTAGAGGGCCGTTGAGACTCAGCAGAGCCCTTCATCTGACAGGTACAGACTCAGAATGGGCAGGTCTGGGATGGCATCCATGACTTCTCCACCCGACATAATGGCTCCTTCAAGGATAAGCGCAGGGAGACAAGATGAGTAGGACCCACCTCTGTCAGGAAGAGAAGGCTCCTGGACAGATGAGAAAAGACTTCCCAGAATGCCCTGGCACCTGCTCCTACTATGCTAAATGACCATGGTGATGGCAAGCCAAACCTGAGAGCTGCCATTGGTTTTGATTAGTGGTTTAATCCTCACCAATTCAAAGCACCGCAGTATCAGCCTCACCAGGTAGGAACAACAAATCAAACCTTTGTCTATCTGGACAAGGTCCCAAAGGAGTCACTGGAATGAACTGCAGGTGTCATCTTGACTGAATAAAAAGCTGGCCAACTGGCATTTCTGGAAGGGCGTGAGGATGTTTCTAGAAGAGATTAGCACTGGAAGCAGTACAGGAGTCCAGCAGATCTACACTCCCACTGGAGGCAGCATCCGTCAGTCTATCCAGGGTGGCACAGAACAAAAAGATGGAGGAAAAGTTGTTGCTCTCTCTTACAGACTGGGACATCCATCTTCTCCTGTTCTGGGACATCAGAGCTCCGGGGTTTTGGACCTTCAGACAATAACATCCTCTTATCCCCCACCCGCCACCTACCTCACTGCCTTGGACAGAGTCACACCACTGACTTTCCTTTGTGAGCTTCCAGCTTGTAGGTGGTAGGCCTGTTGTGGGATTTCTCAAGCCCCACATTTCCCGTACTAAATCTTGTCTTTCACATGTATGTGGTGTGCGTGTGCATGTGTGTCCACTTCCTATCGGTTCTGTCACTCAGGAGAACCCAGACACACACAGCCACGTGCACCTTGGATCCTGAGAAGGGCTGATTTGGTCTGGAGCACAGGAGGACTCACTTGCTTAGGCCCCACACAGTCTTGAGTCCTCCACTCAATCCTGGGGCAGGTTCAAGGTCTAACAAGGCTCTTGTAAGATTCCTTGGGAAGAGAGAGCCCAGTGAGCAAGTAACACAGCTGCCCTTCCCACAGAAAAGAAATTCATGGCTGGAAAACATAAGACATTTTGAGAAAAGCAGCAGAGAGTCCAAGGTTGGGAATGGATCTATGAAAGTGTTTTAGAAAACTGTCCACGCGTGGTGGTGTACACTTGTAATCCCAGCTACTGGGAGGCAACGGACAAGCACATTCAGGTATCTCTTTGGTATACTGATTTCATTTTTTTAATATACCCCAAAGCAGGACAGCTAAATAATAAGCCAAACACAAAAGACAAACACCATGCTCATTTTCACATTGGAAGGGGGGAAAACCATTGGGGGTGGGCATAATGGTGCACGTGGTGGTATGCTCCCTGTCACCAGAGAGGTGGAGACAGAAAGATCTTGAGTTTGAAGCCAGGCCAGGCAAAGTTAGTGAGAAACTATCTCAAAGACAAACATTTTAGAGGGGTTGGGGGTGCAGGGAACGTAGGTCAAGTCATAGCTTGCCTTGCAAGTGCAAGGCCCTGGGTTCAGTCCCCAGGACCACATCAAAAAGAAGCCAGTCTGAATGTGAAATAGTGATTCCTAAAGACTAGGAAGAGTGGGGAAGGGTGAACA